ATTATAATTTATAATTAAAATAATATATTAAATTATTAGTAAACCAAAATATGTTTAACACCTGTCATCTGTATTCTGTATGATTGAAGAATATATCACAGAATAATAATATACTTCAAGATATATAAATGATGTATATAAAAGTTTTATCAAATGATTGATAAAATGTAACTCGATTGGTTGCGCAATTTTGCTCCCGAGACGCTCGTGTATTAACTCCATTTTATCACGAGCAAAGATAATATTATTATCACGGTAGCTATTGATAAAGTGATCTATTGAATAACTATGATTTATTATTTATTTAAACTTAAAATATGTTACAAATGTTACAATTAACATTCGGTAATAGATAGGTTCTTATTGATCTATTATATTTAATACATAGTATGATATAGATACTTAAAATCGCGAAATAATATTTGTCAACAACCTGAGCAATGTGATTTGGTGACACTTACTAATTACTTATGCGTTTTAGTCAGTTGTCTTCATTTTTCGTTTCATGTTTAATGTATTAAAATAATCGATGCCGATTAACTACTAATGAATAAACTTCAAACCTTTAAATAATCATGGGTTGCGCCTGTGAAAAACAACATATCACAATACAGGATAACAAGTATTACATACTTGATCAAATTGGACAAGGGTAATTGTATTAAATATACATAAATTTCTTAATCCATAGTATGGTCATTAAATATATTGAGCTGTTCGTACACTCTAAAACTTCAAATGTTAATTGACTGATGTAAATAATACAAATCAACATCAATGCTATTTTTTGCCTACAGTTTTAGTTTAATGAAAAAATAATAAAGCACTATTATTATTAAAAATTAATTAATTATAAGCAATATGTTTAAATTTTTATGGTATTTTTTACTTATATTTTAGGTATCAAATATATTTTAATACATATGTTAAGAACATTTTAGTGGTTACACATTTTCTTGGGTATTTAACCATGATATAACTATATTAATACTTATAATTTTTTTTTATTTTATATTTATAGAGTATTTAATTATGTATATAGTTTTTACATAAATTATTTTTACTATTAATTTTGTATTCTAATGAATACTTATGGAGGTACCTATCTAAAAAAATTATCATAATTTCAATTGTCATTAAGTATGAATTTTTCACAGTCCAAATTTATTGTATATCCAAGAATATATTTTAATTTATTCCTTATAATTATTACACTGAAAACTTTTTTTTCTATATTGTGAAAAACACTGATTATATTTAATTGATGATATGTACTGTGTACAGCAATATGGGTACATATAATTTACAGAAAATTTAGATATAAGAACTAAAAGTTGAACATTAGTATCATTATCTTAAAAAATTGCAACATTTACCATTACAAAAAGTATTTTTCCATACTAGTATACTACCGCCAAAAAATATATAAATACTATTAATTTATACTATTTAAATTTTTAAAAATCTAACTATACTTTATAACTTTCTAGCACCTATATGACATGGTAGAAAAATCAACTTTTGTCCCTCCTGTAACTTGCATAGTAAATATTAAAATAAAATATGATAATATTTATTTATTTTTTTAAATATGTTTCAGTGGCTTTAGTTCAATATTTCTTGTTAAAAATACTAATAATATGAAATTTGTATTGAAATGTATCTTGTGCCATGATCAAAAAGACTGCAAGAATGCTTGGAATGAAGCCAAGATCCATCAACTTTTAGAAAGCAGTGGAAACAAATATATTCTTAATTTAATTGAATGTGAAATGGTTGAAAAATCATTAGAATTTTCAAAAACACCAACAGATACATTTCTTATGTTATTACCTTATTACAAAGTAAGTAGGTATTTAGATATAATAAATCCAAAAATTAAGTAGATCACGTATAAAATGTATTTTTATTATTTATCTTGTTTAGAATGGATCATTGCATGACACTTTAGTTAAACCTCATTATCATATGGATTTGAAATATGTATTAAAACATTTTCGACTGATTTGTTTAAGCGTGAAAACATTTCATGATCTATCTTATTCGCATAGAGATATAAAACCTGCAAATATATTATTTAATGATAATAATGAACCAGTAATAATTGACTTAGGTGACTACTTCATTTGAAAGGTTATTTAACTATTAAAACACTATTTAAAAATTATTTTAAAGAATGTCTTTTACAGGATCTGCTGCTCCTGCCAGAATAACGGTGACCTCAAAAAAAGAAGCACAAGAACTTTTAGATGAAGTAAATGAAAGATGTTCAATGACTTATAGAGCTCCAGAATTGTTTAATATAGATATTAATTCTATTATAGATGAACGAATCGATATCTGGGTAAGAACAAATTAATATATAATTATATTCATAAAAAATTAATTAAATTTATAAACAATACTTCAATACATTAAAATATATTCTTATAATACTTTTTATACATTTCAAGAGTTATATTTAAAGATTATCAGAAGATAAATTTAAATAATTTAATTCAATAGTGGTAAATCAGTTTGTAAATATTTAGAGAAGATGTAACATGCAGTGATGAGACAGTTGATGGCAAAATAAAACATAATGAAACTATTTTCAATATCACTTAATATATAGCTTATTCTCTACCACCAAACCCAGTAATAACATTACACATTATTATTAAAACTATTTAGCAGCAGTTTTACTGTTTATTGCTTTAATTTTTTTACAATAGAAGAATATAACCCGTCAGCAATAAACATTTTTCTATATTGTGCAATAATAATTTTAAAAAAGGAAGAAAATATTTAACTGATTTGCTGTGCTGTAAGTGTCGAATCTATCTTGTCATTGTGGAAATCAATGAAATGAACTTCATAAATTTGAATTCAATGATAAATACAAAACAAGGTTCTAAGTAAAGAGAATTGTTAGTCTTTACAACCACTATTTTACTATTAATATAAATTATAATAGGTTAATTTTATTTTACCACAAACATTACATTTATTATAGTCATTCTTCACAGTATAAACTTATAATGAAGAACTTTTAAGTAAAATTTTTAAAATTTTTGACTGAACAAAAATTGTTTACCAGCAATTACTTAATAAATAATTTACATGCCTATAATAAATAGATCAAATCAAAATATTTTTAATTATACCACTTATATAAAATAATGCAAATTTTTTTAATCTTAAATTCTATTTTATTAAATTGACAATTAACTGACATTATGTTTGTATATTATTTATTAAACTAAAATATTGTTTGTCATGAGTTATTAGCTCAAATCAACTTTTGTATTCCTATTACTCTCCAAACCATAATTTTTTTGTTATCCTATATGTTAAGTCTAAAAATGTTAATGATTCTATATTAATTAGAGTATTGAAACTTGCTAATATAATCTCTATCACCTTAAATTTTTTTAATACACGTCATAATACTTTTAGAATTATGTTAAGTATATTAATAAAAATGTACTATAATATTTAATAGTCCATTGTAAACTAACATTTTCTATATTATAGTTCCACTAGTAATTTAATATAAATTTACCATCTAATCCTTATTATTATTATCATTATTTTTGTTGTATATGTTATTTATTATTCTTATATTGTTATGTATTAAGTCAAGTATATATTACACATTTTTAACCCAATGTTAGATGCCTATGTGGTTGGACATGTGGAAAACAATTATTAACCATCAATAAATTATTGATTAAAATTAGAAATATTTATCATTTATTGCTTCTTTTAATTATTAAACATCAAAATTTACATTATTTATTTATAATTATTATATAATTTATGATTAGAATGATATAAATAGCTTATAAAAAAAATTTTTACAGTCCACAACTTTTACATAATGTATTTTAAATGATGTAAATGAGAAGTACTAGAGATAACATAAACGTAAATTGCATTTGATAAGAATAATCTTATTTTAAAATGTACTGGGTGACATTTGTCAACCGAATGCCTAACGTAAGGTTAATTGTTAAAAAAGCTAGTCCTTATATTACTACTATTACTACTACTACTACTACTACTACCACTGCCATAAATAAATAAATAAAAATTTAAAAAAATTATTATTTTATTATGTTCATTTAATTAAAAAAGCATAAATTAAATTTTTATTGTTTATATAAATCAAATAATACTTATTTTTTTTTTTTATACATATTTCATATTTACATAATATTATTTTAACTAATGTTAGGATATGACATTGACAGTTTACAAGTTATAATAACATCATACATTGCCCTCAAGGTATAGTTAATGAAACCATAGATATTATTTAATTTATTTTTATCATAAATATTTTTTTATCACTTATAAATTTTAATTATACAGTGGTATAAAACATTATTGAAGTACATTTAAAGATATAATTAAAGAAAATTATGAATGTATTTTTTTATTTAGTTTTTAAATATTGTACTAATTATTTTTACCTTTTAATGTTTTTAGTCCTTAGGATGTTTACTATATGCAATGCTTTATAAAAAGTCACCTTTTGACTTGGTTTATGAGCGAGGAGATTCTGTTGCTTTGGCTGTGATAAATGGAAAAATATGTTTTCCTCCAAATTCTAATGAAGTAATAATTTTTATAGATAACTCTACTTTAAAATCTTTATCTGTGTAAAATGTTTTAATATTATAAATGTTTTTTTTTTATGTCATTTTAGAATATCAACGATTTGATAAAGATAATGTTAACAGTAGATCATTTCAAAAGACCATTTATAGATGATATATTAGAATCAGTCAAAGTTATTGATGAAATATTTGATCAAGATTTTAATGAACATAATATTTTAAACTCAGATAATTGTACCGTTTAGAAATTATAATAAATGCATAGAATTAATATCAAAATAAAATGAATTGTCCATACTGTAATGTTAGTTATATACTTATATCGCTTATACTTTTACAAATATATAGTTAAAATAGTTGTTTTTATTTTATAACAAACATTTATTTTATTCAATTTATACTTTAATTTTGTAATTTATTTTTTCATTCAAAATTTAAAATACAGGAAAATGTGATATTCATTAATTAAAAAATATTTTAATAAAAAAAAATTGTCTTCATTTTTTATGAAATATATAATTGTTGTTTTAATATTTATAATGTTTAATTATCACATTATTTTATGTTTTGTACTTCATCATTTATTTAAAATCTCAAATAAAAATTTCTAAAATACATGAAAATAATAACTGTTTAAACTTAATTAAAATAATTATTTTTACTCTAAATATATTCTTTAATTTAGCTTATTTATCTTGTAGTTCTATCAATTTAATACTAAATATAATTTAATAAAAATGTATTTTATCAAATAATTTATAAAAATTTTATTTCATATTAATAATTATTAATATACATTTTTGTTCAACAGTGGGTCATCAATAAAACTCCCCTCTATTCATAAGTTGTAAAAAAAAAATGTATTTCCTGCACACATAAAACTTTTTGTTGCTTATGAATTACTCATAATCGTTTTTTACAAGACAATAACGGTTTGGTATTAGCATACCATTTTAAATACGAATTAAATGTTACACGTCATAGTAAGCATAACGTATAGTTGGTAGTTACTATGTGTTGTAAACGAGATTTCGTTAGAAACTACTTGATAAATATTGTTTTTTTAATTAAATAGACTACTAGTTTACTACTATTTGCCTTCTTCACCTTTGACGGACGTTTGTTGAACTAATAAATGTTCAATACAATACGTAATGAGTAATGATGTATAATGACGTACGTCAAATACGCCGAGATACGGCCAAACAGGTTATATAATATATAGATTATAGGCTACGACCTCAAAAATTAGGACAAGCCAGGATATTGAACAAAACGTCATTATTTGAATTTTTTAATTCATGATAAAATATTAATACTGAAAAATACTTTTTCTAATAAATAATACGGGGTATAGTCTGTATTGCACACTCAAACTATTTTCGAATGCTACTATTAATAAAACTGGTATGTACCCTAATGGCTAATTACTAATTGGAAATATGAATATAAACATAATATCTATTATTAATCGTGATTGCAAATAATAATTTCCTAAACGGGCCGTTTACAAGTTAACTGTCACAAATCAGTCAAATCACAATAAAATAATATAAATAAATTTCTGCTTAATTTGTTACTGTTATACCTACTGGATAAGCATTATTAGATTTGAATTCATAATGTAAAATAAAATAGATATAATTTAAATATTGCTGATTAGGACCTAATAATATAATTGTTTTGATGTCATCGCATAAGAAATTAGAAAATTATAATTATAAATTCGTTAATTGGTAATAACTTGATTGTACCATTGATTTTTTTAAATAAACTAATGAGTTTGGTTTGGTCTATACCGTAATCATTGATATTTGATAGTATTTATAAGCAATTATTAAATTTAAATGACTAATGAGTTACGGCGGGCGGTTTTAGACTTCTGAATTATAATATGGCAAAGACCCCTGAAAAACGATTGGTCCGTCATATCGCAGTGTGCCCAAGACCGGCAGCAACCAGGCTACGTTGGCTGCGCTGTTGACTGTCCACCGTGATAACAACCACTGTGGCCAATTTACCTGCCACATTTCTCGTTACGATGGCGTGAGTTGTCGTAGTTGTCCTGTCAACCAGTTCCGGCAATGTGTTATCCGACTGCTTAAATCACTATTGCTTGTTCGTATTACACTTTTTTTTTGTATTGAATACCAAAAATTCATTATCACTCTCGTAAGGGTATTCTTTCTGTACGTCATATTGAATAATATCAATAATTGTTAAAATACGTCAGTCGTTTTTGAATCACCGTCGTCAATTTGTCACGAGCAAATATAACTCAAAAGACATTCGTTTCGCTTTAAACTGCCGATACCGACGTTAGACCAAACACGTTAATATTACTGTCACTACAGTGTTGTAACACGCCCGCATCAAGGCGGTACGATTAACGCGCGCACACAACGTGATACTACATCTACAGTTATTATTGTTCGCAATGTAAGCATTTTATTACGTTATATACATAATATACTATATTATTTATTATATATACATATTTATTAGTATTCTTTCAATGAAATTGTCGTTAAAAATTGTGACTTAACATAACACCTAGGTATTTTGTGTTATGCTTCTATTGATCGCGTCGTTATTATATTAATGGGCAAATGATGATCATTTTATTACTACCGACGGGTGACAATGATTTGTTACTTATATTCTTGTACTATAATTTAAAATGTATAGAAGTCTCGATTTACTCTTATCCTTTGGTTTCTTGAAATACTTAATTGGGTGGCTATTATCCCCATCTGTTTAAATATAATTCAATGCATTGATACTTTTGTATGATTATATGAATAATAAAATTATCAGCTTATTGTGATATATCTTAAAACAAATTGTATAATCTGTATTGAAATGCTTAGTCATTCAGTAATAACTAATTATTTAGAAGTTGAGATCAATAAAAATTCAATCATATTAAAAGATTTCTACTCGTAGTTTTAACCTATGAAATAAGTATCCTAAGACAAATAGATTGTAGTTTGCTTCTGTTTTACACTATTTACACAAATAAAAAAAATTTAATTTAAATTTAGTGATTTAATTTGGGTGTTTGAATAGTAATTTAAATATAGGTACCAAGCTTTGTACAATATTAATAATTTATGATCTTTTTATAAAATAAGAATTAATTTTAACAGACATAACATGTTTCTGTAGAGAAATATATTTAATTTGTTTTTAAGATATGTCTTGTGGGTATAATACCGTTAGATAAATGTACAACAAAGTTACATTATTCTGATTACTATTACAGAAACAAATAGTTAAAGAAAAATCAATTTTTTTAATACAGTTGTAATATATTTAAGCAAAATATATTGTCATTGACACAAAAATGTCTCTCATGTCCTAAAACTTGATTTTTCAGGAGACACAAAAAAAACTTAAAAATTCACAAATTATCAATGATAAAAATTAATTTTATAATAGTAAAACTATATAATTATTTATTCCAAAAAAAATTGAAGTTTAAAAACTTAATACTTCTGGCTTTATTGTATAAGTTGGCAATATTCTATTAGGTATATAGAAGTTTTTATTAGTTAACATTTTTACCAAACTTAAATAGATTTTCAATGTCACATAGAATGTAGAGATTTTGAATAATTTTATAAAAATTAAGTAACTTGAATATTTTAGTGATTAACTTAGACTACTTTGTTATTTTTATTTCAGAATCAAATTACAATGAAAATATAACTATTATATGAAACAAAAATGTTTAAAGCATTTTAACTATCAATATTTCTAAAGTATCGTGTTATATTAAAGTAACAAGTAATAGTCATTAGTAATATCCCTTCTTTGATTTTAAACAAAATATTGATTTATTACAATATAAAAGTTTAAAATACCTGTAATAAGCATTCATCAAATTACTAATTACTATTTGTTTAATTTAGTATCATATTTTATAAATGCAGTAAGACCTGTTTTATACAGACCCTTGTTAAGACTGAATCCTGTTCTGTGTGGAAATGTATTATGGTCCCACCAGATTTCTATAATTTAACAAAAGATTAAACTCTTGATACAACAGAATCTGTCTAGCGTAAAATGGAAAACTTTTTGGTCCCGTAAATCATATATGCCTTTAACAAACTGAAAAACATCATAAAATAAACAAAAATATTTTTGATACCCATATTTATTTTGTTATTTAGCAATTATTAAGGCCAGCACTATTAATATGTGTCGATAGATAACTACATTTTATCTTAAACCTATATCATCAGTGCTCATTTTTGTCACACCAAATAGTCATAGCTTTCCTGTTTTTCGTCTCGTCTTACTTATTCTCACAATGTCTTCAAAAATTTTTAAATAAAAAAAGTGAAAGTTGTTAATTTTTAAAGAAAAAATTGGACAAAAACTTAACACATTTTGGAATTTTTAATTGTATTTTAATCTGCTTACTTTATTTTATTGTATTATTATTTGATTAATACCTACTAAATATTATGTTCTTCAAATTTTGGAATTAAAATGTATCATTATTTTAAAATATCTAATTAATACATATTATTTAATTATTTATTAAAAATTAAAATTTACTGTAGCGTATGATATTTATTAATTTTTATTATTGGCTGAAAAATTTTTTAACTTTAAATCTTAATCATGCAGAATATTGTAACTTTATAGTATGGAATTTTCCTTTTTATTCAGTTACATGGAAACCTGCTTAAAATGGAAAATTTTTTGGTCCCATGCAATTCCGCACAGAACCGGTGGTTTTACTGTACTATTATAAATATAATTAAATCACAGGTGATAATTCACAAACAATTTATAGTAGGTAACACATGAGAAGTTTTATTTTTTTATTTCTTATTAATTTTCCTGTGAAGGTAGTACATTGAAGATTTTATTATAATGATGGCCTATTTTTATAAATCCGAGAATCTCAAAATCATAAACTTTGTTATATAGAAGAATTTTCATGTTAACAACGAAATGCGAGTTTCAATAACTTATGAATATTTAATTATGTATACAATGAGTTAGGTAGTTTAAGTAGAAAGTCACATACATTAAATTATGGAAAACCAGCTACTTGTTCAAAAACGTATGTAATAGTGTGTGTATTTCAAAATGTACACAATATCATGAACTTGATGATAACTATATGCAATAATTTTATATGCCTTTTATTTTATTACCAACAATATAATTTACTGACAATAGTTGTGTAAAACTATTGCAAAGGTCGCCTATTAATATTTTAGAAAGGCTTTGTTA